AATATAACATGAAGGACGAGGGATTCAGAGGGATTCACCTGATATTCTTATAATACGGCACGAAAACTTCAAGTTTTATTTAATACGCTTTGTGGGTTCACAAAAGAGATAATCTACCCGAGCTTCCGAAAAAAGTATTGTAAAACGTATAAAAAAAATTTTATAACAACTGTGTAACGATCTACAAGATCGGGGCACTCGGGACGTTCACCCCTGTTCCAGCTTGCACGATTTGGTTTGTATTACCCAAGCAAATAAATAAAATCTAGAGGGCACAGGATTGCATGTTGCATCGTGTGACATAATGTTGCATTATGTAATGACAAAACCTGTACATACATCTCTAAGTATTACTATAAACCAGTATTACTAACTGACCAATATAAAAGGACGATATTGAAAATAATTACTGAAAATAAATCATACACATTGTAACATTTACTTTCTTAATAATAACTTCTATATCCTCGTAAAAAAGAAAATGGTACAATTTCCATCTTTTACGGAGATCATTGCTGAAATTCAAAATTCTGCGAATAAAGTTAAGCAACATATTATTGATAATCCTAAAATTCAAAATTTTGCAAATAAAGTGAGAGAAAATACTGTTGACAATCCTGAAGTTCAAAATTTTGCGAATAAAGTAAGAGAAAATACTGTTGACAATCCTGAAGTTCAAAATTTCGCAAATAAAGTGAAACAACAAATTGTTGAAGTGAGAGAGAATATTGTTGACAATCCTAAAGTTCAAAATTTCGCAAATAAAGTGAAACAACAGATTGTTGACAATAAGCTAGCATTAGAAAAAATCATCATTAAAAATCAAAATTCTGCAAATAAAGTGAGTCAACATTTTATTGATATTCGGCCAGAATTAAGAAGAATATTTACTGAACCAACACCAAACAAGGTTTTTGTATCATTAGCTATTGGCTACTTATTTGGCCGACCAATCATTTATGGTTTACTATATGTATTAGGATTTCGTAAAGGAGGTATCTTAAGACATTCAACTGCAGCACGGTTGATGTCATTTCATGGAGGTGCTACACCTCCAGGTGGAATTGTCGCCAATTCTCAATCAGTTGGAGCGGCCGGCTTACACTTTGTTGGAAACCTTTTGACAACCCTAAGTGGTGGTGCAGTAGTATTTTGTGCAATAAGTGCAGTTGAAGCAATTAACATTTTATGCAATCGGTGCCAATAAAATGCCGTTGTGAGACCGGAAACGTGACCTGACCTCAGGCACGTGCGCCCATAACCCGGCTATGTCCAAATTCGGTTCTCCCGACCGAAAATCGCAGAAATGCCATTTCTGGAGGAAAGAGTAGAAATGACAGAAATGGTAGAAACGGCGATTCTGGGATTAATGGTGATTCTGTAAATAATAGTGGTTTTGGGATTATTGGTTTTTCTATCTTTAAGGGCGTTTCTGGGAATATAGACAGTAATGGTAGAATAGGTAGATTTTCTAGATAGATTATTCATTATAAAATAAAGGCCTGTTGGCCCTTCGGGAAGACCAACACCCGATTTAGATAAATAATAATAAAGTACCTAAGTCATATAAACATATACTATAAAATACATACATTCGTTTATAAACCACTCGTCCAAATCTAACACGCCTCTTTCGACCCAGAAGTAACCTAGTATTGGTTACACGGATCTCCCTTTCGATTTAGCGACAGACTCGCCGTTTCGGGTCTGACACCGTTAATAAATATAGCGCTATTGTTCTGAAAAGAGTTTTAAAGAATTTCTTAAAAGCAATAAAAAACTTTTTTTGAAATCTAAATATTGAACATTAATAATATGGTCATTTTTTATTTTTATTTTAAGTTTGGTTATTTGGTTTATTATAGTTTTTTTTCTCGTCATAGATTCTTGCGACCAATCAGAAATGATTACGAATACTGTATTTATTGTTAGGTGAAGAGTAAATATTAGACGTTTGAATTCGATCTTAATAAATTATCGACACAGCAAAATATATTCATTCATTTATTGTGGCAGCTTATATTAAACTTGACATATGCTAAGATTTTGGCATATATAATTATGAAATCTTGGGGCCTTTTTGGATAAAGGTTAGTTTTGAATTTAGATGTTATTTTTGTTGTTAAAAAGGAGAATACGTATGTAGATATAAAGTATAAATATCCCTTTTTCTTTAAGAACATCAAATCAAAAAATTTATATATATAAAAAAAAACTTACCAAAATACTGGTTTACTTCAATGAATTTAGAAAAAATTAAAAATTTATTAGTAGAAAAATCAGATATCATACCTATTACTGTACAATGTAAATTAAACAAGACTTCGCATTTCAGCATAAGGTGCCAATTTTTGAGGCAAATTTGGAGCATAATTAGAAATTAGATTTACAGAATTTTTATTTAAAGTATAAAATATAAATTACTAGTATCTTAAGTAAAAAACATGTGACGCGAAAGATGAAAAATGTACATACGAGTTTATGCGAAATAAATAAACGTGTAACATATTATAAATAAGAAATTTCTCAGAAGTTTTTATTATAAAAGACCTCGGAATGAAATATAAATGTGAAGGAAATTTTATGGAATCTCGGAAGGCTTCTGTGCATGTAACTAATTAAAATCTCTTGATATCAATCCTTTGGAATTACTTCCGTCTTATGACTAATAAATTATATCCATGGTGCTTATTTTTATTGCGCTCTTCTTAATCTATCAATCTTATTTTTGGATTATTTGAGAATTATTCCCTACGTGTTATAATACCACATGCGTTATCTCAACACCATATCTAAATTGAATATTATACAAAATAAAATGGAGAATACGCATTTATAGAAGGTACTACGAAGAGAAACTTAGCGTATAAGAAATGAAAACCAAAAGAATAGGTCAAAGTTACAAAGGTCCACCGGCTGAGTATAGCATTGTTTGAAAATTATAATGAATTTTTAGTCGTAGACTTTGTTATTTTAATCTTAACATTTTGTTTAATTTCAATGAAAATTGCCCACATTAATGTAATTTGGATGAATAAATATACTGCACTATGATTTTAAGTCCAAAATCGTATTCAAATTTACATTTTTAAAAGCATTTAATTTTTATCCGTTATATTATCATTGTAAAAGTTAAATTTCCACCAATATTAATAATGATATCAAGAATGGAATTAATTATATATTTTATATTATAATTTCTTATTTAAAATTAGATAAATTTTATATGTTTAATTTGTAATTGAAATAAACTATATTTTTGACTTTTATATGGTTAAATATATATTTAGATCTAATATACAGTTATCAGAATAACAATATTAGAAATTTTCTTAATTGGTATTAGAAATTTTCTTAATTGGTTTTAGCCATTTTATTCTTCATAATTAGGTTATTAATCCTATCTAAAGTTGTATTGTCGATTTTATTACTACTAAGATCTAAAAAGATTAGTGTAGTATTTTTGCAAAGCGCCTCTGCCAATACCTTTCCTTCTTTAGAACCAATATTACAATGACAAAGATCTAAAGAAGTTAAAGCCTTATTTTCGCAAAAAGCTTCTGCTAATGCTCTTATTCCTTCAAAGCCAAATTTATTCTTACAAAGTGCTTCTGCAAATACTTTTGCTTCATTATCATCAAGATTATTACGACCAAGATTTAAATATGTCAATGTAGTATTCTTATAAAATGCTTCTGCTAATATATATCCTTCTTCTGCACCAAGATTACAATAATAAAGATCCAATGACGTTAATGTTACATTCATACAAAGTGCTTTTGTTAATGCCTTTACTCCTATAATACTAAGACGATTAAATCTAAGATTCAATGAAATTAATGTCTTATTATTGCAAAGAGCTTCTGCTAATTCTTTTATTACTTCATCATCAAGATTATTATGACCAATATTCAAGTGAGTTAAAGTAGTATTCTTATAAAGAGCTTTCGCAAATTCTTTTCCTCCTTCAAAGCCAAGTTGATTATAATAAAGTATTAAGTGAGTTAAACTTTTGTTATTATAAAGTGATTTCGCTAGTACTTTTCCTCCTTCTGTACAAAGATTATTAGCTGAAAGATTCAAAAAAGTTAAAGTACTATTCTCATAAAGAACTTTCGCTAATGCATTTCCCACCATAGGACCAAGATTATTATTTTCAAGATTCAAAGAGGACAGAGTGGTGTTCTTAGAAAGTGCATCAATTAGTTCTATTGCTCTACTAATATCGAATTGTGGACACCTAATATCCAAAAAGGTTAAAGTGGTAGTTTTGCATAGTGCCTCTGATAATGTTCTTATTTCTTTAAGACCAAGTTTATTATTATAAAGTGTTAAGGAGGCTAAATTAAATCCTCTTGAAGTAATTCTATTATCGAAAATGGATGAGGAAGCAGGAATAATGTCTTTAAAAAGTGTATCGGCCAATAAATAAGCAATTTTACTATAAATAACTCCATCAATTTTTAAATCTTTAAGTTTATTACATGTTCGTAAAAACATTAAAATTAAAGAAGATTTAATAGCTTGAATAATAGTTTTATCTTTTCTAGAATAAGTTAACACACGAGGTCCACGTCCTTCACGATTAAGCCAATCTATAATTCCATCATCTGAATTAGCTTCAATGCATGTAATACAAGACATATATTCAAATAATAGTTTTGGATAATTTGGAAGTATTATTTCAAATGGTATTAATAGTGATTGTTCTTCAGCGTTCAAACTTAAAAAGCATGTCCTTAACAATTTTCTGTTTCGAAAAGGGATTGGCCCTCACCATAATATTGGCACAACATTTCTACACCAATGACGATTTACAAGAAGACATGAAAATAAACTTTTATGATTGGTTTTAAGATTATTAAATATTTCGAAAAGACAGTCATTTGGTAATACTATCATTTTGAAAAATTAAAAAACGTATATTAAATATGTGAAAGTATGTACGATACGTACGAACGTAATTTAATACGATTTATTTCTGTAATTAGAATTTCATTTCCAAATTCGTTTACTTATTGGAACGAATAAATAGCACCCATATTTAATTGTAGGTGCAACAACAAATCATATAGCGTACGTACGTACGATGGATAACATATCGGCGAATTTGCGAAATTGTGCCTAAATTAGGGTTTGTGCCTAAATTATGGTCTATAGATTTTATCAACGTGATCATAAAACCGACCCAGATTTTCAGCTATTTTGGCATCTTGTAATTGTTAAACCCAGGGAACCTAATTTAGACCCAATTCCGCAAATCCGCCGATATGATTCATAGTATTAATGTAAACGCAAATCTTCAATTAGAATAAGGATGAATTTTCTCCTGTATGATTTACACGTGCTTATCAATGTTGATTATCGGGATTAAATAGTAAACGAATGGTAATGTTGTGCCTCAGAGGCATTCTTGCGTCAGATGAAATCCGACACAGATTTTCAGGTGATGTGCGTAACCTGTCGATTAGTCATTTGAGGTGCGTAAGACATAATCTGACGCAAGATCATTTTTATTTTCAACGAACAAACAAATATGATAACGTCATGACGAATAAAGGTACAAAAAAAGCCATTTTGACTTTGGCTTTGGTATCTTTTTCTTCGTGTTTTACGTTAGCTATTTTTATTTTATTTTATTTATTTCTTATTGGCTTTGATTACTTTGGCGCTGGCTTAGTGAAATTATATGTCAAAACACATTAAGTAGTATAGTTACTTTGTGTAATTGTCACGGAGTTACCTAAACTACCGTGTATTTGCGGGTCTTTACTACCAAATAGGGAATTGACTCGACAATCGATGATTGATCTTAATCGATCAAAAATCAATTATATATGCTTGATCGAGTATGATCGATCAAGCATGGAATTTATAAGCTCGAGCATACATAATCGATCAATTATTGGATTAATCATTGATTGATTATATTATGCTTACGTAGAGATTGACTCGCGTTCCATCCGTTATAAAAACAAACCGAGTCACTTTAATGACTTAAGTAGCCCGAGTCACCCGAGTAGCAATAGTCATGATCCAGTTGATACGTAGATCTTACACGGGTTACCTGGGTGACCTACCATAATGATACCTATTTTTTACAAATTTTCTTGATCGATCAAATTTCAACCATTTGATCGATCAACATAATCGATTATTGATTGACTCACTTTTGATCGAGCCCATAACATCGTGCTCGATCATCAA